CTCTCTCTCTCTCTCTCTCTCTCTCTCTCTCTCTCTCTCTCTCTCTCGCAATCTTTAGCATGACTTGCATGTGGCAGGAACGCAGACGACTTTCGTGCTGGAGCTGAACCATAAATTTAGTCCCCGGGCAGTCTGTAAGCCGCTTCCTCCCTGCACTCCACAAGTTGACACATAAATTCACTCACTTGGTCTGGGCTCATGCGGTTTAAATGCCCTGGCTGACTTTCTTTCACTAATGAGTTGGGTTGTCCAGTGTTCCTTTCCCCGAAGTGATTTTTTTGTGTGTGTGTCACTAGCCAACGGGTTTCCCTAGAAATTGACTTGACAGAAAGGAGGAAAGGAGAAGGTGTCTGAAACCACAGAGACCTTTTCTCCTCAATTGCCAGCTAACTAGGGATGTTCACCAATGGGGTAGGTGTTAGATATTCCAGGACCTTAACCCAACACGAAGATGTTTCTTGGAGCTACCAACGTTAGTAGATCCCCAAGCACGATTGTAACGCAAATCGCAGATGTTTGTCTATTAAGTTTCTCCTGAACAAAAAAGAGGAAATAAGCAAGCAGGTTTCTTTTAAAGAAAGCCTCCAACCAATGAGTTGGAGCAATGAGTTTCCTAATTCCACAGCTACGACTACTGAATTCTCTCCCCTGCCTCCAGTTCCCAACTTTGAAAATGTTGTGTTATGTGTCCTCGAATAAGAAGGCTTCCTACTCCAGTTAAAAAAAAAATTTAAAAATCTATAGTATTCCTAGAAAATGTCCCTGCTAATTGGGAAAAGAAAGAAGAGCCACTTCTTCCTTGTAGAGTCCTGCTTGTTGATATGTACCCATAGCAACTTAAAAGGTTATGACAGCAGAACTCTATACCCTCCAAAACAACTACAAGGGTATGGGTGGGTGTGTGGACACTTTTTTTTTTTGGTAAAATAAATGGGGAGTGGGAAAGGACGGCTTCCCAATTCAAACTATAGGAACCTACCCTTTTCCCATTTCATAGGTGTTCATGTCAGAGGACTAGATCAGTAGGGGGATCAAAGTTGGAAATAAGCAGGAGAGAACTAGAGGAAGTCTGGTGTAGATTTATAGAGTCTGGAGTCAAGGAAATCTGAATTCAAATTCTGAAGATTTATAACCTTTCCCAGGTCACTTAAAACTTCCCTGAATCGTGAGGCAGCTAGGTGGTGAAGTTGGATAGAGCAGGGGCCCTGGAGTTAGGAGGACCCAAGTTCAGATGTGGACCGAGACACTTAGTAGCTGTGTGACCTGAGCAAGTCACTTAACCCTGATTGCCTCAACTAACTAACTAACTAACTAACTAACTAACTAACTAACTAGATAGATAAATAAATAAATAAATAAAAGAAAAAAAAAGAAGTCCCTGAAGCTTTGTTCTATCTAGTGTTTATATAGATCCTTTGGTCAGGTGAGGCAGAGGACTATTATTATCCTCATTTTACGGATGAGGAAACAGGCTAAAAGAGATTAAATTAGTTCACCAGTAGTAAGTGTCTGAGGTAGAACTTGAACTCAGGTCTTATTGACTCCAAGTAGAAAATGTTAACTATGACACCAGCTAGCTGTAGGTACTACCTGTCTCTGAGAGTTGTTGTGAATCTCAAATGAAATAGTGTATGAAATGTGTTATGCAAATCTTAAAGTACTATTTCACAGATATAAATGTCAGTTTTTATTATTTATCTCTTACCTACAGTTTTGAGGGTGAACCCACAACATTGATATTAGAGCAAATGTATATAATAACAGGCTTTGTATCTACTAGAGTGAAAAGGGATGGGGAGGTAGAGTAAAAATGACCCATAGAAGGGAAAGGTATTTATTTCCACAGCTAACATTTCTATAGGAGTTTGCTCAGGTATGAAATGGGAAATTGACAATCAGTCCTACTTTAGTCTTAATAGATAACCTGCAACCCAAATTACCCTATTACTAAACCATGTATTAACATGGTTTTATTATTATTTTATTATTATTTATCTATTAACCAAAAAACCCTATTACTAAAGCATGTTTTGCTTTTGGGGTGTGTAACCTTCACTTATGTCTAGCAGGTACATTTCAGTTGGGCACTTTGGGAAGACTAGATCTGTGACCTATGTCCTAGGGGTTATGAGTTCAAATACAAAGAATGCTCCTTTTGAGGTCAGCCTTTGGGTAGATAATTTGAGAATGTAACTCCTAGAACCCTGGTGCACTGTGTGGGGGGACTGATCATTCTCTGAGGGTCAGGGAGAAATATAGTCAAATGAAGACTAGAGGCATGTTTGGGTAAGGTAGATGGTATACTATTAATTCCTTTTATTCATAACCTACACATTTATTAGATTTTAAAAAACTAATATTTAGTGAAGGGAAATTGGAATAAAATTGGAGATCTGGAGACCTGCATTCTCTACAATCTGCTGTGTGATCAAGTCACTTCATATCTCTGGGTTTCAGTTTTTTCATCTTTCACACGAAGGGGTTGGGATAGATAAGTATTATGGTCCCTTTTAAGGTCTTAGTAAGTTTGGATGAAGATAGTTTAAAAAATATATATATTTTAACTGATTATATTGCAAGTCAATAGCTATAAGTATTTTGAAGAAGAAAAAAAAACGGGGATTAATGGAGCTCTCTTCCAATTAGTGCCTTTTTGACCTCAGTACCCAGAGAAATGACTCTGTGGGTCAACTGTACTAATGCTCTAGTAAATAACCACTTGTCCCCTCATCTAAGAAGAATAATGTGATTTATGATGACAGAACAACAAAGCATATGACCCCTTTATTTTCTTGTCTGTGCCCATCTGGAAGGAGAAAGGCTTGTAAAAGACAATGCCTAGAACTGGTGATTTTTATTTTTATTATTAGCAATCTACATTGATTCCTAAGAAAATCTGTATGATTAGTATGCCCAGAAACTAGGGTAGTAATTGCTTTGAATTCTTTCTGCATCTAACCAACTTTTTTTCCTGTAAATCAGTTGACCTCTTATATCCTGTCAGGTAAATCCTAGTCTGCTAGGCCTGTCTTATATCTGATACAACTAGTATATTTACTTTTATGGTCATTTTTTATTGATTTTTATTGTCATTACTAATTTTATCTTTGTTCAGAGGAGGAGATGTGGCCTCATTTGTTGCAAAGCTAGGAAGTGGACAAATCAGCTCTTTATTTAACAGACTCGAAGAAGAAGCTATGGGTTTGACCCAAAGGCACTTACTGTAACTGAATTAAGATGCTGTTTGGAGCTAGAGCTAAATGAAGACCGGAAGTACCATAGTGCTTGGTTTTATATATGCAAAGCCTGTATACCCTCATTAAATAGGAGTAAGAACTTTTAAAAGTTTTGTCTTATTCCTGTAGAAGATTATAACTACCTGTTTTCTGGCCATTATTACTGAGTTGTTTAATGACTGCTTACTTTTTATATTGTCACTAGGTAGTTATTGATATTTATTATAGATCTTGAATATAAACTCCACAGTTTCAAGGTGAGAAAAAGTTCTTCATTCTCCAGGGAGGCAACAGTTCACTAGTACATACTCTGATTTAATGGTTTCTCTGTATACTCAGCCTTTTTTTTAATAACTTGTTTAGCTAAAGGGGAAAAATGTGACACAAAATCATAGTGTGCTGCCTTTGTGTGATTTAGTTTTACTAACATATTGCTTAGGAAGCATTTCTGTGTGTATGCACATTTGTGATTATAATACAAGAGCAATAATTACTATTACTCTTCTCCTAAATATTGGGCCTGGAGTCAAGAAAACTCATGTTCTTGAGTTCAAATGTGGCCTCAGAAGCTTAAAACTGTGTGACCCTGGACAAGTCACTTAACCCTCTTTGCCTCAGTTTCCTCATCTGTTCTTATGAACTAGAGAAGGAAATGACAAACCAATGCAGTGTCTTTGCCAAGAAAACCCCAAATGGGGTCATGAAGAGTAGGACATGACTAAAGAAAGAAAAAAAGATCATTCTTTTTTATAGAATTTCCTTGGAGACAGATTCTTGACTTCTCTGTATCCTCTGAATCCTTTCTATGCAAGATTTCTACATTATAGCCACACAACCACCCTTGATTCCCTACCATTATAAAAGGTAAAACAGGCACTTTTGCTGATAGAATTTGAACCTAACAATAACCTTTTCATCACTGGGTAAAATTCAGAATAAAATATACGTTTTAACAGAAAATGCATAGAAAGAAAAAAAAAACTGGACTCAAGCTCATTGTCTCCTGTTCCACAAGCTACTGATTTAGTATGATATCTGATGCAAGAGACCAGGATCTCTTTGATCTTGAGGCTTAGTTTTAATAGACACAACACAA